CGGCTCCCGGACACTCAGCCCCGGCCGAGTGGAGGTGGAGAGGATATTTGGATGCGAACGCAGGTGAGAAGTAACGGGACCCCACGGTGGTCACAGGCAGGGGATTGCCCTTCCATGCTGTTGGGGGGCCCCCTCTGGGTCACCGTGCTTCGGAGGAAGGCAGGGCTAGATGGCAGAGCTCAGCTTTCAGCTGTGCTTAAATTTCCCTCAAAGCAAGGGCTGGATCTAGGCTCAGAGCCTCCTCCATTGTGGTACACGGGCTGCTGAGGCTGTTGGAAAGGTGGAGCTAAGCTGCACTGCTAGAAGAGAGCAGCCCACCTTCCTCATCCTTACAGCCACCTGGAAGCTGCAGGATATGCTGCAAAGCAGGGCTCCCCACAGTTAAAGGGCCAGGAAAGAGATGTTCCCCAATCCCAGCATCAATAACTCCCCAGGGATTCCACATTCACTGTAGGAGCCACTCAGGAAATGATAGGCGATGCCAAGAAGTACCCAGTAGCTGTTTAGGCTTTAGCTGGAGGAGCAAGAGCAGCTCCAGGACTGGTAGCACAGGGCAGGAGGGGACGTAAAGAGGGACTGGAAAAGTATCCTGGACAAGTGGGTGGGATGTAAAGATGAAGGAAAGCCTGAGGAATAGTGTGAAGAAGACAGAGGTGAGGCAGCATGAGGTGATATGAAAGCTGAGGTGGTGGGTGGGGACAGGGAGAGGCTACAGCACACACAGTGTCTGGGGCAGGTGGAGGTCGTGGGGTCAGGCTAAGGTGGAGCAGGCTTTGCAGGGGCTCTGCTTCCAAGCTGAGCAGCGTGGCAGCTGGACCAACTGTGTGTGCCCACAGGAAATCAGAGACGCTGGAGGCCTTCCAGGCTCTGGAGGAGGGCCGTGTGGATCGGCTCGATGGCAAGACGCCGGTGCCACCCAGCAAAGGCCACCTAACTCGGAGGCGGTCCAGCCCCAACCTGCCCAGGGAGGTGAGGCTTGGCTGCACAGCAGGACCTCATCCCAACTCTGCAAGCTGAGTTACTTTTCCCTGTCACATTTTCCTCTTCTTCTGCCACATGCTTCTCTCTTTCATTCCCCTTCTCCCTCTTCCCTTTAATCCCAGCTCTCCTGTCATAGATTGGGACCCTTGGCTCTCAAAATGCAGCAGCCCTTTCACCCTTTGGGTGCAAGAGGCTTCTCTACAGTATGGACTGGCTCCATGCACAGGCGTGCAGGTGCTCTCTGGGGAACCATTTAACCAAATCACCTGCCAG